CAGGGCCTGCGCGCAGAGTGGCGCTGGCGCGAGCGGCGCGAGCGACCCCAGCGTAGTGCGGGGGTGGCACCCGGCGGCGACGGGCCATGCGCGCTACGCGAGCTCAGCGTGGACCTGCGCGCCGAGAGCTCCGTGCTCATCCCCGAGACCTACCAGGCCAACAACTGCCAGGGCGCCTGCGGGTGGCCGCAGTCCGACCGCAACCCGCACTATGGCAACCACGTGGTGCTTCTGCTCAAGATGCAGGCGCGCGGCGCCGCCCTGGCGCGGCCGCCCTGCTGCGTGCCCACGGCCTACGCCGGCAAGGTGCTCATCAGCTTGTCGGAGGAGCGCATAAGCGCGCACCACGTGCCCAACATGGTGGCCACCGAGTGCGGCTGCCGGTGACCCCAGGGCCCAGTGCGCCCCTGCCTGTATTTATTCTGACCCCACATCTCCCCCAATAAAGACCAACATGCGCCCTGCAGGTGTGTCTGTGCGTCTTTGGGGTCAGGCAAGGACACTGGATGTCAAAAACAGTTTGGGCTTGACTATCCACCAAGAGGCACCTCAGAAGACAGGCCTGGCGATCCGCTTCTGAAAGGTCACAGCCTCGACACGCCTATTGGAGCAGCTCTACTCGCACGCATGGGGGCGCCGTGAGTCGGAGAACTCCATGGCAACAACTAACCCACCCAATAGCACTTCGGAAGAAGGTCCTGCCAGTCTGCTTCCATAAAGGCACTGCAGAAGAAAGGCTTGACGATCTGCTGCTATAAAGATTCTGGCCAACAAAACCCTATGGAGCAGTCCTACTCTGTCACACAGGGTTGCTATGGTCAGAAGCCGCTCAATGGCAATGGGTTTGGGGTTAGGGTTATTTTTTTGCTTGAGGTCCTCTTCTCCCAGCCTGAAGCTCCCCATCTAAATCATTCAAGCCTCAGGCTCAAAGAAACATGCCATGCCTTGGCCAGCGCACTCGCTTTATTTTGCCTTCCGCGGGGAGTAGGAAGAAGCGCCCAGGCCCGGCTCAGTCCCGCCCCTTGCCCGCGCGGCGCTTCTGGCGGTCGGGACGCTTCTCTTCTTCCGAGGAGGTCTGTCCCCTCCTCTTGGAGGCCCAGGTCGGCCTCTTGCTGCGCTCAGGGTCCTCGGAGTCCCGGCGCTGGGGCAATGCTCCCCGCAGCTCCCTGTCGGCGCGCGGCCTCTCCTCCTTCCACGCCTTCTCCTTCCACACCTTCTCCTTCCGCGGCTTCTCCTCCTTCTCCCTCCGCGGCCTCTCCTTCCGCGGCCTTTCCTCCTTCCTCCACTCCTGCCCTGA